AGTTGGTTAATTAATTTTGTATAGTATAGAATATAGGCCTATTCTGTGTATTTTTTTTTCTGAAAATTATTCTGTGTATTTTTTGTTGTTGCTATTTATCTCTGTTAGTTACAATGCACAAGGTCTTTGCAAGACAGTATTAAGGGAATACAGCTAGAAATTATGCTAACATATATTTGATCCATCCCCTTACTCAAAAATAACTGAATCATCTTTCCAGGTGAGAAAACAAAAACCTGCAAAGGTCTTTAATGCCACTGGGTCTTCATATGATATTTAATTCCATGTTCATTTCCCAAGATGCATAGTATATAAATTGATAGCATCAATGGCTTAATTTCTCTCTATGGACATCTTTGAATTTTGTAATACCTTCTTTTTTTATTAAAAAGAATAACCTTATGATGTTGAGGTATGTTCCCTCTATACCTACTCTGTTGAGGGTTTTTATCAAAAATGGATGCTGTGCTTTGTCAAATGCTTTTTCTGCATCTATTGAGAACATCATATGGTTCTTATCCTTTCTTTCATTAATGTGGTGTATCACATTGATTGATTTGCAAATACTGAACCACCTTTGAAGCCCAGGAATAAATCCCACTTGATCGTGGTGAACGATTTTTTAATATACTGTTGGATTCAATTTGCTAGTATTTTGTTGAGAATTTTTACATCCATGTTCATCAGGGATATTGGCTGGAAATTCTTCTTTAGTGGGGTCTTTGGTTTTGGAATCAAGGTAATGTTGGCCTCATAGAATGAGTTTGGAAGTTTTCCTTCCATTTCTATTTTTTGGTATAGTTGGAGAATAACAGGTATTAGCTCTTCTTTAAATGTTTGGTAGAATTCCCCTGGGAAGCCATCTGGCCCTGGACTTTTGTTTGTTGGGAGATTTTTGATTACTTACTCAATTTCTTTGTTGGTTATCAGTCTGTTCAAGCCAAAGAAATCTTGAAAAAGAAAAGCAAAGCTAGAGGCATCACAATTCCAGACTTCAAGCTCTATTACAAAGCTGTAGAGATCAAGACAGTATTGTACTGGCACAAAAACAGACACATAGATCAGTGGAACAGAAGAGAAAACCCAGAAATGGACCCACAACTATATGGTTGACTAATCTTTGACAAAGCAGAAAAGAATATCCATAGGAAAAAAGTCTCTTCAATGAATGGTTAGGAAAAGTGGACAGGAACATGCAAAATATGAAACTGGACCACTTTCTTACACAATACACAAAAACAAATTCAAAATAGGTGAAAGACCTAACTGTGAGGCAGAAAACCATCAAAATCCTAGGGGAGAACACAGGCAGTAACCTCTTTGACATCGACCATAGCAATTTCTTACTAGATATATCTCTGGAGGCAAAGGAAAAAAAAACAAAAATGAACTATTGGGACTTCATCAAGATAAAAAGCTCTGCACAGTGAAGGGAACAGTCAACAAAACTAAAAGGCAACCTTTGAGATAGGAGAAGATATCTGCAAATGACATATCTGATAAAGGGTTAGTATCCAAAACCTATAAAGAACTTATCAAACTCAACACTCAAATAAACAAATAATCCAGTTAAGAAATGGGTGGAAAATATGAATAGACATTTTTTCCAAAGAAGACAAAGAGATGGTTAACAGACACATGAAAAGATGCTCAACATCACTCATCATCAGGGAAATACAAATCAAAACTACAATGAGATATCACTTCATACCTGTCAGAATGGCTAAAATTAATACAAGAAACAACAGATGCTGGTGAGAATGCAGAAAAAGGGGAACCCTCTTAACAGTGTTGGTAGGAATGCAAACTGGTGCAGCCACTCTGGAAAATAGCATGGAGGTTCTTCAAAAAGTTAAAAATAGAACTAACTATGACCCAGCAATTACATTACTAGGTATTTACTCAAGGGGTACAAAAATACTGATTTGAAGGGATACATGCACCCTGATGTTTATAGCAGCATTACCAACAATAGCCAAATTATGTAAAGAGGCCAAATGTCCATCGACTAATGAATGGATAAAGAAGATGTGGTGTGCGTGCGTGCGTGTGTGTGTGTGTGTATACATATATATAAATATATATATATATACACATATATAATGAAGTATTACTCAGCCATAAAAAGAATGAAATCTTGCCATTTGCAAAGACGTAAATGGAGCTAGAGAGTATAATGCTAAATGAAATAAGTCAGTCAGAGGGCACCTGGGTAGCTCAGTCGGTTAATCATCTGCCTTTGGCTCAGGTCATGATCCCAGGATCCTGGGATTGAGTCCCGCGTCGGGCTCCCTGTTCTGCAGGGAGCCTGGTTCTCTCTCTCTCCCTCTGCCTGCCTCTCCCCCTGCTTATGTACTCTCTCACTTTCTCTCTCTCTGTGTGTCAAATAAATAAATAAATAAAATCTTAAAAAAAAAAAAGAAGTCAGAGAAAGACAAATGACATATGATTTCACTCATATGTGGAATTTAAGAAAAGAAACAGATGAACATGGAAGGAAAAAAAAGAGAAATGCAAACCATAAAACAGACTCTTAACTATAGAGAACAAACTGAGGGTTGCTGGAGGGGAGGTGGGGGGGGATGGGCTAGATGGGTGATGGGCATTAAGGAAGGCACTTGTGATGAGCACTGGGTGTTGTATGTAAGTGATGAATCACTAAATTCTACCTTTGAAACTAATACTACACTATAGGTTAACTAGCTGGAATTTACACAAAAACTTGAAACTATAAAAAAAATAAAACAAATCAAAATAAAATAAAATAAGCTGATAAGTTTTCTATTCCTGTGTTAACCTGGCTGGTTGTGGGGACTAAGAATGGCAGGAGGGGAGAAGTGCCTTGAGGAAGAAAGTGGGAGCATGTTGCACACAGAGGTGTGCAGGTAGAAGTACAACAACCCAGTAATGGTCTAGTGCAACTGACCAGAATGCACACAAACCTGTAGTTATGCAGCTACCCATCTCTCTGACTAGAGATAAAATGCTGCCTCAGGAGGGAAAAAGGAGGAGGGGTAAGGAACTACTGTCTCGGCTGACTAGAATTAGTATGCTCTACTGTCACAGCCTTCAATTACAGGTCAATGTTAGAAAAATACATACATCTCCTCTTTCACTGCAGCCAGTTTGATGGCACGGTGGGGAGTAAGGAAGGATTATCTACAAAGCTGCCTGGATTACAAATCGGTGTTATAGATCATGAGTTCAGCTCTGCCTCTGTATTGTGCTGGCAATTTCTCTTCACTAACCTCCCCCTGGGCTTTCAGGAAAACCATGTGGGTGCCAGAGAAGTCACGAGCTGAGCTCCGCATGCTATTCAGCAGCTGCTCTCAATGGTGCAGAAAAGTAGCAGAGAGCACCCATTAGGGAGGAAATGAATAGGACCATGTTACCAGCAACAAAAAAATCAGCTTTTGTCTCCTGAGCTGACACTTCCACTCTTCTCTTGCTGCTCCATCATCATTTTCTTTTTACATCTTCCTTTTTGTTGCAGTTAATATTAGAATTTTATTGGTACTTAAAAGGTCTGAGTATCTCTTGAGAGATAAAACTTAGGAATATCAAACCCAAAATAAGTTCATATTGATTCTGTAGGTTCTTCTCTTCTTGCTTGTATTCCCATTACACAAGTTATTCTAACTCAGAGTTTAAATCAGTTAAGAATCTCTGATGGTTAATTTTATGTGTCAGTGTGTGCTGTTGGTTCTGTTTCTGTGGAAAACTCTTATAAATAGAGAACCTAAATTCAATCACAGTTATCTTGAAATCAAATGTGGGTTTTTTTTGTTTTTTGCTTTTTTAATCACCAATATTTCTCTATGGGATAAGTACATGTATATGACACGGGCTATATATAGAAATCCTGACTCTAGAATGGCTTCTCTGCAAGAAGGCAGCAGATATTACCTAAACAAATACAAAGATAAGCATCACATGGTATCTTTAAAACAATTATGTTGATGCTTTTTAAAAGCCTTTATTTTTTTTTTCAGTTAAAATAGTTCAAAGGGAAGTTAATAAAAATCTCATTAAGTTCTAAGTTTCATTTCATTATTTTAAGCTCCTAATCCTTTCAAAATTTTGCCTAGTTATATTTAACATGACAAACTATTTTTTATTAACATCAATATCTGTAAATTGCTCTAAATCAGCATTTCCTCTACATTTGGGCAGTTTCTATTCATCAGTATGATAGGTGGCCCATTTGTAAATCAGCTAGTTTCTCCCTAGTTGTCATAATATAATAAAATTAATGTTGTACATCATATTCTAAAGTAACCTGGCTGATTAATTCAAGGTGATTCCAGGCTCCCAAAATAATTAATCAACACAGGGATTTATGTCCATGTCTTTCTACATGGACTGATGTCTGTGCAGTGAAGTAGTTATGAAAGTAGCCATTACTAAGTAATAATGTAAAATAATAAATATCAATATCTCCATTTTCCCAATTTTCAATTCTCAAAACATATATATATTTATATATAAATACTATTTATTATCCTATAGTTTAAGAGGTCAGAAGTCCAGTATGGTTCTTACATTTCTAAAATCAAGATGTCAGAGACTCCTGGGTGGCTCAGTTGGTTAAGCGTTTGCCTTCAGCTCAGGTCATGATCCCAGGGTCCGGGGATCAGGTCCCACATTGGACTCCTTGCTCAGCAGGGAGCCTACTTCTCTCTCTCTCTCCCTCTGCCTGCCGCTCCCCCTGCAAATGAGATAAGAGCATGATTCTAGACTTCCTGAAATCTGGGTTATAGGGGAAGGGAAGGAGCTTATAAAAGTTTTAATTTAAAGAAACAAAAGAAAAATAATAATTGTACCTGGATGCACTATATATATTCAGATATTGATGCACTATATACATTCATATATATATTCATATGTATTATTATATATAAATATATAAATATAACTAATAATATAACGATAACTAATAAATATAAATATATATAACAGCCATTATCTCTACCATCATCATCTTTTTTTTATTTTTGCAGGACTCTCAACACTAAATAGTTCAGCTATACCCATGGCAACGACAGCAATTTCAGGGACCTTTGGAGATTATTCTCATAATCCTCTAGAGTTACCTGGAGAATCAAAAGTAGTCATTGGTACACAATATAACAATATCCTATTGGCACTCTGACCAACTCATCTTTCTCAGCAGCTCACACGGTGGACAACATTCACTGCTATCCATGTACAACTGCCTCAATTCCATTATCTAGATGAGTGTATAACAGCTACAGATTTCTTCTCAAATGCATTCACCCAGCCCTTACCAGTTGCACATTGGAGCACAAATGAAAACCATGTTCAAGAAATAGGCCCATGTAGTTTATGTGTCAGACAGGCCTAGAGTAACCAAGTCCCACAAACAAGCAATCCTGGCACACACCAACATTTCCATAGTATTCCTCTCCTTTGAGGCATCAGTGGTGTGATATGGGCTTGTTGATATAAATAAATTATATATATCACATTAAACCCAATAATATAAATGACAAGACTTCCAGGAAAGTGACATTTCAGAACTTCAAGCTTGTAGAACCTAAATAGAAGCCCACTTTCTCCCTCTTTGACCTCACTTAATATAGAAAAAGAAGTTAATTCCTTCCCCACTGCTAATAATTTCTATGAAGAAGGGACATTAAGAGACAATGTATTTAGTTATTATAAAATACATCTGTTTGGAATTTTTTTAATCATCAGGCATCATGGGATCCTCAGTTTTAATCATGGGATAGGTTTTTACCAGGACCTTCCATAAGAACCTGATGAAAAATAACTCCTCCAGCTATACTGTCTTTAATCTTCTAAACCACAAGCTCATAACCAGAAATCATACCTAGATTTTTATCATAATCAGAAAAAATATTTATGCTCAAATAACTTCATTCATACTCTGAATTCATTAACAAAGAACCATGTCAAACTTCTACTACTTTTTCTTCCCTTACTGAAAGTTTTCTGATGTCTATAAGGTAATTTCAATTAATTTTAAAATGAATTATATACCTATACATACAAAACACACTAACGGCACACTGCTTCTCCACAGGGACTTCTTTTAAATTTTTCTTATTTTTTTCTTATAAATTTTACATTATAAATGTAGAAAATGAAATTTATTATGATGGGGGAATTCACACCCTTTCCCATCTTTAACCCTTGCAGTTTTTGAAGTAATCAGGAATATATTTATTATAGCTCTATTTCTCTAGATTTAGATTTTATTTTGCAAGAAAAAAAGGAGAAACTATCATTTTCTAGACATTTTTTCTAGACAGACTTAAAATATGTCTAGTATAATTTCTAGACACACTAATATATATCTAATTAACCCACATTCTCTTATTTCATCCTTGCAATGACTTTTCTGTAGGAACACCTGAAAAGTAAAGTAACTCACCTCCCTTGTGAAGCACTACATCAAAATTCAAATGATTGTCATATACTGTTCCCAGGGCCTCAGAGAGAAGACCTGGCCAAGATGAAACAGGCAAGAAAGAGGCAAGAAAGAGACAGAGTAGTCAAGTGTGGCTTGTCTATTCATCTCCCACAGAGCTCTGAATCAAGGTTTGCACAAAACTTCTGAGGAAGCAGCAGACTACACACAGCAGACGGGGTCCTCTGATGAGCAGCTACTCCACCGTGACAATGTACAGCTATCATCCAAGACAGCTCAGATTACTCAGTCTATCCATACCCTGGGCCATGGTCAAGTATGCTAAACAAGAAAGAAAGTATTCAGAGATGGTAACTAAAGAAGGCAGGGCTAGGAAACTTGGGACACAGGCCCCATGAAGACATGTTCTGATTAGCTGGAGATAGCTCCAGTTTCCTTCCTACAGGGGGGTGTGACTCATACTTACAGATTTTTAATGTTCTCAAGTTTCTTGAGTCCAAGGAACCATTTTGATATGGCTTTTTGCCATATTTGCAGCACAGAACAGGTCAGTTGTCCTCTGCTCTTTGATATCTTTTCCTACTTGGCAGTTGTATTTCCTCCTGACTCAAATGTGCTTCCTCTCTTTGGGAAGGCACAGGATGCCACTGACTCAACATCAGAAGAATGTATGCTTCAGGTTGTTTTGCCCAGCTGGATCAGCTTCTCTCCTTCACTTATAAGGTACATGACCTTGGACAAATCATGCTGGTGTCTCATATTCTGCATTTGCAGAAAATGAGAGCAGAGGATGTGATAACATACCTGAAAGCAGAGGTGGCTAAAACAATGGCCTTCTAGAAGTCCCATCTAAATTCAAGTCCAAAATTATAAAAATAGTAACAGCTAATACACTTTTACTGTGTTCGAAGATCCTTGTTGAACATCTTATATACAGCATCTCTATTCTTCACAAACCCTATATGGTAGTTATCACTAGCCATGTTTCACAGAAAAAAACTGTCAGAGGACTGAATAAATTGTAGCGATGGACCTAAAGTTTTTAGTCCTTTGTCTACATGACTACCAACCCTGTGTTCTTTCCTTTGTGCTCTGCTGTTCTCAGGTGTATGACTTATGCTATGTGTGATCGACGTTTCCTATAATTCTTTCAGGTTGGAAGCAGTCAACCATGTTTCATGAGCCCCAGTCTCTGATGGCTGAGTATGCACAAGAGGAATTCTGTGTTGCAATTAAAATTACAAGAAGGTTAATCAGACACATATTTAATGATATGTATAACAGCTATTGTGCTACACATCATTAGGCATAAATGGTAAGCTGCTCATATAAATGAAAATAATTATTTTTACACTGATGAAGAAAGCATGGCCATACTCAGACAGGAATTGAGATGGAATGGAAAAAATGTTGGAATAAAAATAATTGTTTCCATTTATTAACTTATTACTAATATCCAAGCATTGTGCCAGGTATTTTATATGCATTATCTGATTTAATCTTCTTATTAGCAATAGGAGAAAAATACCAGTAATAAATCTTTTTTTTACAGATGGGGAAATAGAAAGGTTAAAAAAATTGTCCTAGCAGTTACTGGGATGATATGCCATGCTAGAAAGTGTCACTTAACATCCTCCTCTAACATACTTGTGTTCCACAGCCACATTTAAATGGAAAAACCACTCCTTTCCTTTCTCATTTCACCATGTTTGCTTGCTCTTAATGGGAAGTGCCGTCTTGCCTTCAACTAACTTAGCCTTAGAACACCAGTGTTCTTTCTGCCTAAATTCCAAATTTGTAATATATGAGCAACTCTTTCAGCCTTCTGTTTCAAGAGCAAAAGTCCATGGACTTTTTTTTTAAGATTTTATTTATTTATTTGAGAGAGAGAGAGAAACAGCATGAGAGGGGAGAGGGTCAGAGGGAGAAGCAGGCTCCCCACTGAGCCAGGAGCCCGATGTGGGACTCGATCCCAGGACTCTGGGATCATGACCTGAGCCAAAGGCAGTCACTTAACCAACTGAGCCACCCAGGCGCCCAAGTCCATGGACTTGTTATCATGAGGGAAAAGAGTGGGAAATATACCAGTTAGGACAGGCTAGCTTCTGTTTAAGATTTGGTAACTTACTAACCAAAACCAGTGGCTCAGAGTTTACCTGTTCATGACAGGATGGAGGCGGAGAGGGTAGTCACTAAATAGTGCTGACCATCTCAACAGAGGAAAGAGAGGATTGCAAAACGTTAGTTCCTTCCTTCTCCTGTTACATGCCACAGAAAGTGATGTTTGGGTCAGCCAAAGCCATTTTGGGATGAGGGCCCCAGGATTTCAGCAGACAAGGAAGAAGTTTTCTTACTGATTAAAATAAGTGATCCATAAGGAGAAAATTCAAAGAAAAATTTCACTAGCTTTGACAATGTTTGCAATCTGCCCTCAGTGACCTAAAAGGTCAATTCAGGTATCACTTAATTCTGGACCATTCCCTTTCCCAGGACCACCCTTTCTTCACCTCCACTGCCTAGAATCCTGAGACTAAGCAGGCAGGGAATGTTGAGATATCCTGCTGATCTTTATTATATTGCTTTGGATGGCCTCTTCGAGGTTAATAGCATTTACTTGTAAAACATATTATTCCTTTAGTGGTGGAAAATATATACATTTTGTGAAACAGTTTGTGTCCTAGAATTGCCCAATCACCATGTCTGGCTTGTATCAAATGTGGTAGGACAGCTAAATGGCCCATAATAGGAATAAACATTGCCCTGATCAGTTCATTGCATGCATTGATACAAATAACTAAGTCCCAGGGGGCCATGGATTTATATGGCAATAAGTTATTGTAGTAGTAGAATAGTTATTAAACATAATACCAAGAAAAATAAGCAGTAGTGACCAACTTCCTTTCTGGTCAGTTAGCAATATTATTGAGAAAATGTATACCGAACATTTCACAGGATAAAGGGAGTGGTTCTGAGTCAGAAATTTGAGGACTCCAGGCTTCTACCCCATTAGGTGATAATGATATTTCTGCACCTCAATTCCTCAATTTAAACAAAAATAATTAATGAGATATATCTGAGGTCCTCAGAAACCATAATCCAGCATTGTTTCCTCTTCAGGTTTAAGTACCACTGCAAAATATTCCCTTAGTTTTAGCAGGTAAAAGCCTCCAGGGAGAGGATGAGGAAGAAGGAAGAAATGCTCATGCTCCCACTCTGATACAGGACTTCAGGTTTGAATAGGAAAATAATAAAGATAGTTTTGCTTCACAAAGATCCAATCAACTCAGAATTCACACAGTAATACAGGCATCACTGATGAGTTAAGATGCTTTAAATTTCCCTTCGAGAGTTGGGTATGTGCATGGGTATGGCCTCAACTTCCTTGAAAGTGTTTTTCTCTGTCCAGAGAGGATTATTTAAGACTGTAGTCAGAGACTGTGGCAGAGTCACTGAGAGCTACTGGAATCAGGCTCTCCTAGCATTATGAAGGTCTGGTACCTCTAGTCCTGAGATCAGAGCCTTTTCTGCTTGAACCAAGGTCTTCCCTTCACCTGTCCCCTCTCTGCTTTATTCCAAGTTCACTCCTTTCCTTATCTGCCTCCAAATTTCCGATACAAAGCTGTTTCGGCCAAGCATGCTT